CCCCCAAAACCCCAAAACCCCAGAGTTCAAATTATTAGCTGATACTGTAAAATTTGAATATTTAAAATATTAGTTTAAACTATTTTATAATTAATATATTTGGAAATTTCGACAAGTACTTATGAGTTTTCTTTTGTATTCTTGGATTAAAAGTAGAGTATTACTTTAAAGATTTGCATAATAAGGCTACATCAGAAATGTTTAAATGGAATAAGAGGTTAGGTAGATGAAGCTTTTGAGGATATATGTTATTTTTAAAACTGCAGAATTTATGTTTACTCGCTAAAATTAAATGATAAATGAGAAATCATTAATTAGAGATCTTTGTTAAAACTTTAAGTTGAGTTTTAATACATCTGTCATATTTAGTCACCTAGCACTTTAAAGAAAAATGTTTAGTATTGGGGAATATTAGAGTGAGAAAAGTAACTCTTTTGATAAGATTTTAAAAGCTAATAGTTTTGTAATTTTATCTTATATAAATGGTGATTCTTGTTTGATACTTGATGATAAACTTGTATTAGTGAAAAAATTAGAATTAAATGCAAAAATTCTACATTATCAGAATGAGATGGTGTTGGTTGGATCAGGGAATAATATAAGTATAATTACTGGAATTTCTGATGGATCATTCTAGATTCAGTTAAATAAATATGAGGCTGCCAGCAGAATTAGAAAAATTATCAGATTAAATTAAGATATTTTCATTGTCATCTTAGTTGGATATATACAGTTATTTAGTCTGTCAAATCCAAATTATTCTAAAATTTTTCATTTTAGAGGGTTCAAGTATATGAATGGAATATGCTTGATTAATAAATATAAAAATTAGTATGAGTATGCAATTGGAGCAGGTGATTCAAGTGGCAATGGATTGATAATTTTGAAATTAATTTAGTTATCTCAATTTGACTTCAAATGTGTTTAATCTATTCAAAGCATAAAAAACTTAGGATGGATAAGTTAAATAATGCTAATCAAAAAAGATACTATTGCAATTACTTCCTATATTTAACAAGGTTCTTATCTTAAAATATATGATATCCATAAGAAATATGAAGTTAAAAGTATACAATTGCATTCTAAAGTATGTTTTTAGCTTATTGATGGTTACTCATATAAATTAAATCCATATGCAATAATCAAGGATATTAAATATTTATATCTCGTCAATATGAGAAATTATTAATTTTGTAAAATAATTGGATATAATTGCTTAAAAAATGTAAACATAAAAAATAGTCTAATCAACAAAAGAGAGCTCAGAGATAAGAATAATAGTAATAGTAATATATACTCACTGTTTAACTTGGAAGTTTAGAGTAAAGGTCAAGTCTTTGAATCCATAATAAGGAAATTAAGAGTGCAAATTTGATTTCTAATTAGTTAATTGTTTTAAAAGTCTTACTAATTAATTTAAACTATTAATATACAGTCTTAGTAGGAAATAAGTAAGGATTTTATTTGATTTACATTCAGCGGCTCGTTGCATAATGAGAGAGTTCTATACTCAATCTTATTCAATGATCAACTCGACTGCATCATTATCTTGAGGATAGTCCTAGAGTTAAACATCTTAGCTGAATTACTAATACTCTTCATCCTCATCATGACAAATGTTGATCTCATCATTTGATTCTTCATCTATCATTAAATCCTCTCTATAACCAACGCACATGGTACTATCTGCTGGATAACTGCTCATTTGGTCCAAAGTCTGATCATATGTAGATTGATGTGAGTTAAAATTGTTAAGTTAGTAAACTCCTTGCTCTTGATCTGTAATATATCCTTGAGAACTCTATGGTATTTATCGGCTAATAGTTCCATCTGGTCCGAAGCACTTATAGAATAGGCTAACTGCAGATTGTTTTTGTTATTGCTGCTGTTATATCTACTAACTCGAATACTACTATAATTAAGCCTGAGGTTGCAAATGAGACTGCTAGGACAATTGATGATGATAAATAGCGCCATTGGAGAAGTATTAGTCTTGTGAGAGATATTATGATTACGAAGATGGTCCTAAGCCATAACCAGAAGTATTCATTTAGCTTTAGACAGGCATACCACTCCATCCATCATACGGCTATTAACTGTATGTGACATATTAGATTTGATCTCCAGTAAAACACTATGATTAACTGTATATTGGTAGCTACATCTAGTTATACTGCTTACAGATATATTACTACTAATGCTACTGTTACTGCTAATTATCATTAGTTTGAGTTACATTTACCTACTGTGGAATAATTTCATTAGGCGCGCAGCTACCTATAATTTTGTTATAGCAGTCTTAACTAGCTTGCATGTTTTTGTTAACATTGACTGATTGACTCTAAGATTGCTACTAATTATTAGAATTAGCTGTGGATGTGGATAGATTAGTTGACTCTGAAAGCAAACTTTATTCAAAGTCAAGGGAATTCAAGTTGCACTAGATACCATACTAAGTGCAGTACTCTTCATAGTAAGTTTTATAGTTTTTATTAGAGTTTTCCAACCTGCTTTTCGCAAGTGCTGGCCATTTCAACTCATTGAAATTTAAGGAAGAACCTTAAGTGAAAAGTGTAAATCTTTCGTAGTATGCTGCTGCTAAGGGATCAAATAGAAAGTCCTTCTAAGATATCTAATTAAATACATTTCCACTCTTGCTTGGATCTTCTACTGGATTTTCATCCTTAATGTCTGAGGAGTAAAAATTATGACTCTTGGGAAGTAAAAGTTGCTGATCTTTCATAGCTTATTCAAGAAGAGACTTCTTCTGAAATTCATTTTACTAAAGGAAACTTGCTTTTTAAATATGATTGTCGAGTTTTTAACCTGTGCTATCAGCAAAATTTTGAACATTTCTGATTATCTAAAGCAACTCAATTTTGCATTTTTCAATAGACTCTAAAGGACCAGATAATTGGAGCACTCTTTCGTTCGAGGAGTTCACTTCCTGAGGTATAAAGATGTAGCATCCTGTTTTCTGATGCAGAGATTTTATTGTTTAACCATTCTAACCAATTATGATATCTATTATGGCATTTGAGATAGCAAAGTTAGTGTAAGGGCCTGGGAATGGATTAACTTCACCCTTAAGAGAGAATGACTCTTGCATTTTGCGATGTTCATTAACAATGTTTTCGATTAGTGCTTTAGCTCCATCAAACTTCTCAGGTTGGCCTTCAATAAAAACATTTCTCATTGTTGAGTTTGGTATTTCCTTCTTTGCAACTTGAATCTTTGATCCTGATTTCATTTGAAGGTACCTGATGGTTTCACCACCTTTGCCAATAATTAGTCCGACACACTCATTAGGCACTGGTATAATTAAGGCGTAAGGTGAAGGTGGACCATAAGGAGTAAGGAGATAATCGTCAATTGGATGCTTGTAAAGATCTTTACTCATTTCTTAAGCTGCATAGAGCTATTCTTGCCTAATAGCATTTCTGGTTTCCTCATCAGCAGTCAATACTCTATAGACTACTTTAGCTGCATTCTATGCTTTCTCTTCTGTATCACCAATGATCAGTACGTGCTAATCATCGACATCATTTTGCTGCATAGGATGGCCATCTTTATGAGATCCTCGACCTCTGATTAGTATTTTGCAATCTGTTTACTCTTAAAGTCTTTTCTAATAAATACCCTTGGGACCAATTAGCAGTCCAACATAGTTTATTCCTGTATTTCTTGGCATGTAGATTTTTTGTTTGTATTTTTAGCCGTCTGGCTGTGTTGATATAAAGGTTTGAGTCAATCCTGGTATCTGGTACTTACTTATTGAACCAGTCTTTTCAATCGGTGATATTTTAAACTTGGGCATCTCAATAGGTTTCTAATTTTAGAATCCATCAGTATTACTGCAGAGTTAATCTCTCTCAAAAGTTTCGAAGTTTGACGTCACTGTGTTTTTATTCTAGAATGAAACAGTCAACGGCTTTTACTCCTAGACTTTGCTAATACTGCTGATCCATGCGAGTTTATGTTTCTCATCGTTGTGATTATTAATGGATTGCTTTCTGAAGTTGAAAGTCTTCTTAGTTGGTGAAGTTCTTCGAGAGCTATCAAAGGACCTGCCCCTGCTTCTATCGTATCTCTTTTTATAAGGCTTTAGTTAAGAATCGTGAAATGACTTATTTCTCTTTGATGAGTACTTCTTCGCTAGATATGCAGTTGAACCGTAGCTCTTGTGTTCATGATGCTTGGATTTAAAGGCATATTTGGAATCCTAAGCTCTTCTGCTTTTGTACTTTTTGTAATCTCCGCTGGTTTCAGATGATCTGCTTCTAGGTGAGCGATATCTGCTTTAGCTACTACTCTGACTGCGATGTCTTGTAAATCCGCCTTTGCCTTTGCTTTTATGCTAATTCTGAGTGTACCCGCTGTTGTTATGATGCTTGTCAAACTTAGAGTAAACCTGGTAAAAATCGAACCTCTTACTGAAACTCTAATGATGATTATGACTGCTACTATGATATCTCTTATCTTCGGAGAAGTTGTTTGTGTTATCCGGGGAGTATTTCCTAGATGCTTGCTTGATACATTGCTTGTAGTTGCTGTTGATAGATTAACCATTGATCATTTGTTGATTGCCATTGAATTGAGTGTGAACTTAGGGGTATTAAGACTACTGCTGCTGCTAGAGATTATGATGCTAAACTTATGGTTGGTAGTATTAGGGTTATTCTCTTGATCTTGATCTTTAAATCTTATCTCTTGGCATTCTTTCTTGTACTTTACTTTTGAATTGCTTGCTTTAGGGTTGATATATTGCTTACTCTCATCAGGGCATTTAATTTATAGTTTGTGTTGAGTCAAATCATCTAAAAATATTATACAAATTTTCAAAAACCATTTACTAAATAATGTCTCAATCATCATCTTGGGGTTTTGGGGTTTTGGGGAGATCGGAAGAGCACACG